CAAGTGCCCCCGAAGAGGCCCCACAGGGCCCACATGAGGCCACAAGAAGCTTCAGCATTCACCCCACGAGGCCCACGAGAGGCATGCCAAGAGACCCCGAGTTCTAGGTATCCACGAGTCCTCTGGCCAAAAACTCAGGCACAGTAGCGGTACGGACCGAAGACCATGGATAAGCAAGCAATTGGTTATGCGACGGACCCATCCCTATGCAGTCATGTGTAGTGCAGGGCGCGGGTCTCTCTTCATACGTTGCGCGCCGCGGGGCAATGCGGAAAGATGGCTGTCGCGGGGCACGCGTGCACGGGTGCTCTGAACTCTTTGTGGGGTACATCTGATCCGCGTGAGGAGCCGCGCGAACACGCCCATTCAGGCCGCAGTTGGACTTTCTCCGGGCATTCCCCGCGCGAGGCATGTTCGGAAATGGGCGCATGCGAAGCTGCACAATGCTGCCATAGGTTGAGGTTCTTCTGGGGCGTGATTCGCGTGACAGGTGTGCCGACATGGGCAGGGGGTGCGTAGTACAAACCTTGTCTCTGGGCCTTTAGGTGGTGCTCCTTGTGGGCACGATCCGCGTGGTGGGGTGTGCCGCAATGGCCCGGGGGGGGGGCGCAGTGCGAACCTTGCCTCTGGGGCCGTGGGTGGAGATCCCTGTGGGCACGATCCGTATGAGAGAGGTGTGCCAAAGTAGGCGGGAGTGCGGTGGGATGCGAGCCTTGCCTTCGGGGCCCTTCGCGGAACTCCTTGCGGGCCACGATCCGTGTGAGAGGTGTGCCGAAGTGAGTGGGGCGACGCTATGAAGCTCCCTTCTGGTGCCGCAAATGCATTCATTTACTTGCGTTGCACGATCCGCGTGAGGGGCGTGCCACTATGCGAAACTTGTCTCTGGGGACGTAGTTGGAGCTCCCTATGGGGCACGATCCCTGTGAGGGGTGTGCCGACATGGGTGGGGGGACCCTGAGCCAAGCCTGTCTCTGCGGCCGCAGGTGGAGCTCCCTGAGGAGCACGATCCATGTAACAATATTTGTCCTATCATGCCGGAAACTTTTTACCACGCCGGATGGTGGGAGTTGGATCGGGCGGGTGTGCACCGATTAAGAGTTTGGCGTAAAACGGTGAGGGTTAGGTCGTACGGATGTGCTCCGGATATGAATTGTTACATCGGATGGTCGGGATTAGGTCGTCTGGATGTGAGCAGATTTGTATGCCAGTTTGCGTCAGATTGTGACGGTTGGACCGCATGGATGCGCGCGGCGTGAACGCGGAAGCCATATGTTTAAAAGGAGCTGGCTTCCATTCCTGAGAGTCACGCAATCATTTTAACGAAGGTCCGCGGCGTTCAGGCGAAAATCACATTTTCAGAAGGAACCGACCATTTTTGAAATTTGCGCAATGTGTTCAAACGAATGTGCGCGGCGGTGAAAACGAGAACCACATTCTGGAATGATCCCAGCCTCCATCTTTGAAATTGCTGCCAATATCAAGTTTCGTGATCACAATTGGCGAGGGGGTCTCAGGCGAAACGCCCCGCTCCGCATACGGACGCGTGTGGTGGCGCGACAGGGAGTAATTACTGGGAAAGGAGGAGGGGAGGAGGAGGAGGAGGAGGAGGAGGAGGAGGAGGAGGAGGAGGAGGAGGAGGAGGAGGAGGAGGAGGAGGAGGAGAGGAGGACGAGGACGACGACGACGAGGAGGAGGAGGAGAATGAGGAGGAGGAGGAGGACAAGGAGGAGGAGGACTACGAGGAAGAATAGAGGGGTGCAGAAGGAGGACTTATGACCCTGGCCATTCCTGCTGCGCTCCTTCAATCAATCACTGAAACACCCAGCGTGGTGCCGAGGATGCTTTTTCCTGGGTAACTCTGTACTTCCATGTCTCAGGAGTGTTTCTCTTGGGATGCGCATTTCCTTGAAGAGCTAACGGGCCCAGTGCGGGCCAGATCTTGCAGGACGAGGAGGAGGGGGGAGAGGAAGGGGAGATATGATGATGATGATGCTGATGATGATGATGATGATGATCATGATCATGATCATGATCATGATCATGATCATGATCATGATCATGATCATGATCATGATGATGAGGAGGATGAGGATGAGGATGAGGATGAGGATGAGGATGAGGATGAGGATGATGATGGTGGTAATGATGATGATGATGGTGATGGTGATGATGATGATGAGGAGGATGAGGAGGATGAGGAGGAGGAGGAGGAGGAGGATGAGGATGAGATTGAGGATGAGGATGAGGATGATGCTGGTGATGGTGATGATGATACTGATGCTGATGCTGATGGTGATGACGATGACGATGACGATTATGATGCTGATGATGATGATGATGATGATGCTGGTGGTGATGGTGGTGCTGATGATGATGATGTTGTTGCCGATGATGATGATGACGACGATGATGATGATGAAGATGATGTTGATGATGCCGATGGATGTTGATGATGACGATGCTGATGCTGCTGCTGCTGCTGATGATGATGGTGATGGTGGTGATGGTAATGACGATGATGATGATGATGATGATGATTGTGACGATGATGTTGATGATGATGCTGATGATGATGATGATGCTGATGCTGATGATGATGATGATGTTGATGATGATGATGATGCTGATGATGATGATGATGATGATGCTGATGATGATGATGTGGAGGAGGAGGAGGATGAGGAGGAGGAGGAGGAGGAGGAGGAGGAGGAGGAGGAGGAGGAGCGGGAGGACGAGATGCGCAGGTGGAAAGACAAAGGGCAGGGCGACGGACCGACGACCGACGACGACGACGACATTCTGCGGACCACGGACGACGACGGGCCGACGACCGACGACGACAACGACGACGACGACGACCGTCGACGACGACGACGACGTCGACGACGTGCACGACTTCTTCGACGTCGGCGACCGACGACGACGCCGACGACGACGACGTGCCTCGCGGCACGGTGGCAGATATACGCGGTATCCTCCTTCTTGTTCGAGGCGAGACGCGATCGGCTTTGCACTGCCCACGTGCGTAGGGCCCCCTCCCTTGGCGCTGCAGCCCGTTTACTGATGCACGTGTGGGTGACACAAGGGATCGATGACCTGCTCTGGCATGTTGTTAGCGAGTCGCGCTTGCATTTGGCCAGTTCGATTGCAGTCGCATCCGCAGGGGGAGATGATCACCACTACGGGGTGGGGCTGCACCTCGGCGTAATGCTGTGTATGCATGTGGAGCCTGCTTTGTACCAAGGCCCCTCCAGCCGCCCAGGGTGTAGGAGCCCAGCAGGCTTCCAGTCGTGCACACATTTGCCGCGCCTCCTCGAAGTCAGCCAGGGGTGCCACAGCATCATGACGTGACACATGGAGAGGTGGACACAATGACGGTACGACGCAGGCCCAGGCAGAGGGCGGACAGGATTGCGTTGGCTCTGTGGTTGATTACGCCAGCTCTGTCGTTGTTCCTCTTGCTATTGTGTCCGCTCCAGCTGCAGCTGCCTCTTCTGTTGTTCGTCCTCGTGTCTTGCCACTGCCGTTTTTCTCCCGACCTTTTTCAATCCTCCCACTATCCCCTCTGAGCCTATCTGAACATCGCGCTCCTCTCGCCCCACCTGAGCACTCCGCCCAGTCTCCCTCTACCCTGTCGCCCTAATCCTCCCTTCCCCCCCGTCTGTTTGTTCCCCCTTCGCTCGACCCCTCGACGTCCGACGTCGTGGCAACAAGCAACGCCTTGCGGCGGGCAAAGCAACAGGGCTGCCTGTCTCAGTCTAACTTCAGTACGACATGTTTCTGTCTTGACCTAGTTGCCAGAGTCCCGCGGGCCGAATAGAGGCAATGACGCCCGTAATGTTTACGATTGCGATGTAAAGGCCTTCTTGTCCCTGCTACTCCACGTGCTCCCTGCTCCCACTTCCGAAAATCCCGACGGAATTCACGCAGATTCAGACTTTCGACGAAACCCTTAGGGCACCAAGCACATCCCAAGCCCCTCTCATCTCCTCCCTCCCTCATCCATCCTCCTCTTCTTGTCGCCCTCGTCATCCTCTTCCCATCTCAGCGTCGCCGTCCTCAATCCACCTCCGTCCACCTCCTCCTCCTCCTCCTCCTCCTCCTCCTCCTCCTCCGTCCTCCGTCGTTCTCCGTCGTCCTCCGTCTCATCCTCTTCATGCTCCCTCCTCCCTCCTCCCTTCTCCCTCCTCCCTCCCTTCCTCCCTCCTCCCTCCCTTCCGTTCTCCTCCTCCACCCCCGTATAGATTACACCGTGCCGCGCCCCCAGACGTGTTGGTGGGGCTGGCTGGGCGCTTCGCTTGGGATTCCATCCCCAATTCTGAACCCGAAGCTCCCGCAGCCACTGTGGCTCAAGCCCTTTCTGGGCCCGAGGGGTGTCCTTCGCACCAAAACACGCCGTTGCTGGCCGCCGCGGCCTCCTGCGGAGTCCGCCCCGCCGGCGCCATGCTCAGCAGGCCCGCGGCCTTCCTGCCCCCCGCGCCCTCGGCGCCGGCGCCGGGCGCGGCGCGGCACCGGCCGGCCGCGCCTGCGCAGGTCGGGCCGGGCGAAGGGGGGGGGATTGGGAAAGGGGGGGGGTCACGAAATTTGCTGCATACGCAGCTGGCTTCGGCCCCACCGAGGGGCCCACTCCTCGATGCAGGGCCGCCTCCGGCGCCGGGAGGCGACGGGAAAATCAGCGACTCGAGCTGAGTCTCAGACCCCCCCTTTGCTACCCCCCCAGACCCCCGACGTCATGATTTTTTCATGACGTGGACCCCCAGAGGTTTGGACCCATTCCCCAGGACCGGTGTTTCCTCCTGAGTCGTTTTTTGACGGTCCCGAGGCCCGGTAGGGGCCCCCGGAGGCCGAAAATATGGAAAAACCTCCCGTTGTGATTTTTTCATGACTCGAGGGGGTCTGGGCGCCCCTTTCGCCCGACCCGCGCAGGGCGCCGGCGCCGCGCCCGCGGCGGCGGGGGCGAGCCCGCCGCTCGCCGCCGCGGCGGCCGCGGGGGCGGCAGCGGGCGCGTGCCGGGGCGCCGCGCGCGCGCGCCGCCGGGCCGGGAGGCAGGCCCGGGCGGCCGCAGGCGACGGGGCCGACGAGGCCTTCCGGTGCCAGCCCGCGGGCCGCGAGGTTCAGAGGAGGGGAACATCAGAGCGTGATTTACCTACCCCGCTTTCGCTTCTGGGCATAACCAAGTCATACCGCGCGCCTCCTCGTCAAGCGGCCTGACCAGTACAGGCCGTAGTTTGGCATCGTTTGGTATCTTTTGGAAGCGAGGGGAGAAAGCACGCAGAGACACAGAGGAGGGGAGAAGCCGCGAGGTTCAAAGCACAGGAGGGCCGCAAGGTTCAGAGGAGGGGAAAGGCCGCGAGGTTCAAAGCACACACACACACACAGGGCCGCAAGGTTCAGAGGAGGGGGAAAGCCGCGAGGTTCAAAGCAAGGTTCAGAGGAGGGGAAAAGCCGCGAGGTTCAAAGCACACACACACACAGAGACGCGTGCGGGCAGAACTTCTGTCTATATCCACTGCAGTGTGGAGTTTCGGGCTCCCTTCCCAAGAAACCCGAGGCGCACTGGATCTGGATAGATTTGCCCCCTAGAGGCTCGATTTTTATCCATATCCAGTTCGCCTCGGCCTTGTGGCGCCGCTTCCAAAAAAAAAAAGCCAAAAGGCACTGGATATGGACATGAATCTTGTCGCAACACGATTCATAATTCATCGTCGATTCTCCAGAAGGTATGGGAAGATATGGGCAGCGGGGGGGGGAGACAGACACCCAGAAGAGATAGGAAGAAGTATGGGGAATCCTTTTATCTTTGTGTATGTTTTCGTGTGTCCCAGGGCCCCTTCAGAGGTGGAGGAGACGGCGCAGGACCGGGTGTTCCATTGGCTCGGCAAGTCGCCCGAGTGCGGTTCCCCGTGCTTCGCCGCCATGCAGAGGCATTTCCCCAACGCGCTGCCGTCGAAAGTCGTGCACAACCGCTCGAGGGCCGTGCTCGAGATGCAGTATGGCTTCAGGCCGGAGACCACTCTGCTGGGCTCCTCTTTCTGTCCTGATGAGATTCTTGGACTTACGCCACACTGCCGACCCCTGATCGCAGAAGAGGCGATTGTGCTAGAAAATCGAGTTTTCCCATGGAAATGAGGCTATGTCTTTGACGCAATTTGGGACGCCTGTTGAGGGTTTCTCGGGGCGTCTTGGGGGACTCTGAGGCCGTCCAGAGGCCAGCGTGGGTGTTTTCGATTGATCTTTCGGCGGCTGTGGCCCTACTGGTCCGTCCATGGGGGCTTCATGGTGCCCTCTTGGCCTGTTTGGGACCCTCTGCCCCCCCATGATGCGTTCGGGGCGTCCGCGGGGGACCCCCCCACCTCCAAATTGACCAGACCGGTCTCTCGGAAGAGGGGTTTGGGGAGGGGGAAGCATCTCACACGCAGACGAACCCCAAGGGGTAGGCGGATCAACAACGAAGACGACGACCTGCCAACGGTGATGCGGCAATATTACGGGGACATTTTCCCCATGGGCGGCATCGGCGGTGCACCGTACGTCGGCGAGACAGGCTTCGCGGCCTTCTCCAGCCACGTCGCGGACAATGGCGACATCATCGTCGTGTTCGGCCCTCATGTCGGCGTCTCGGTGAATGGAGAGGTGGGGAAGTACCTCCGCCAGGGCCAGAGTGGAAACTCGAGCGCCTGCGGCGCCGTCATCGGAGCCTACAAGGCGTGCCTCTGCGGCGAAGGCGGCAACCCTGAGATGGACGAGGCCGACATGCAGATGAGCGAGATCAAGCGGGAGTTTGCCGCCCATGCGGAGAGGCTGTCCAAGGCCGACGATCCGATGGCCGCGTGCGCCTACCAGGCTTTCGAGATGGTCAAGGACCGCATGCTGCGCATCGTCAACACCAGGTTCGGGAGCGGCCGCCTGGTGCTCCTCGGCGGCATACAGCTGAACCTGCCACACCCAGAGTTTGACGACCATTTCCTCCCGCTCATGTTCGAAGTTCGCCAGGAGGGGGAGGCCACCATCGACCTCCTGGATACGTTTTCGAACATTTCGATCCAACAGGACTTGAGGCGGTCGCCGTGGGCTTCGGTCGGGGCACAGCGCGAGGTGTTCGCATGGATGTCATGGAGCCCGCCCGCGCAATCGCCCGTGTACCAGTCGCTGCACAAGTTCTTCCCAGGCGCCCTTCCAGGCGAGGCGGTTCACCGCCGGTCCCTGCAGGTTCTGCAAAAGTACGGGTTCACCAGCGAGAACACCCTTCTGGGCACTTCGTTCTGTCCTGACGAAATAAACAATCAGTCTGACTGCATGGCCGTATACTTGCAGGACTACTGGGGCGAGGTGTTCCCCATGGGCGGCATCAGCGGCACACCGTTCACGGGCAAGACTGGCTTCGGGGCGTTCTCCAGCCACGTCGCCGACGAGGGCAACATCCTGGTCGCCTTCGGGCCCCACGTCGGCATCTCCGAGGATGGCGAGGTGGGCAAGATCCCGCGCAAGGGCCAGGCGAAGATCTCCTCGGCGTGCGGGGCAGTGATTGGCGCCTACAGCGCGTGCCGGAGCGGCTGGACTGAGGACAGCCAGAACGAGGACAGTTACGACATGCAGATGGACTTCTGCAAGCGTCAGATCGCACCCCACTCCGAGGCCATCGCGAGGACCGAGAATCCGATGGCCGCGCTGGCCCACCAGTCCTACTATATGGTCAAGGACAGCATGATGAAGTCCGTCAACACCAAGTTCGGGAACGGCTACCTGTGCCTGCTCGGCGGCATCCAGATCAATTTGCCCCCCGGCATCCCAGATCACTTCTACCCGGTGACCTTCGAGCTGCGCAAAGAGGGCGAGCCGACCATCGATCTGATCAGGGAGATGCGCGAGTTCAGTTGAGAGGTGAGGACTGCAGAGTGGCTGGCGGCGGGCTCGGCAATGGGGCCAAGTGCACCATCGCAGCCGAGCCTGCTGCCCGCAGCGCAGCTCACAGTGAGTTTTGACAGAGCTCATTTGAGTTAAGAGTGGCTGCGAGCAAGGCCCGAGTGACGCAAAGAGCCGGGCGTTCGTCGAACGACAGGGGCCAATGCCTGAGCTTCGCTTGACGCGCGCCCATCTAGCGACGAGGGCCTGCCTCTACGGCGCAGCGCCGAGCTCCTTCTTTTGTGAAGACATCACATCAGTGCGCCGGTACCCTGTGGCGCCTGCAAACAGGAATTGTTTTTAGCCAGGTGATATTTTCAAGGTATGATATTTTCAAGGTGTCTCCCCGCTCGCGCCCTGCGCGGCGTTGTGGTGCTGGTACCCGCTGGAAACGTGCATAGAGGCGGGGCGGCCGTTTTTGGCCTTTCTCTCTTTCTCTGGTGCGATATTGCGCCCTCCGGCCCCCCGCGGAGCGTTGCTGCGCAGGCACGCGTCGTGGATAAAAACAAAATAAATCGGACCCCAACACGTGAAGCTTGCAGCAGCTTGCCTAAGCGCCGCGCGCGTTCGTCGTAAATGCTTGCAACAGCTGCACGGATGGAGGGCGACTGGCTTTCAAAATGTGGTTATCCCTCCAGCGCCGCGCACACTCGTGTTGAAAGTTTGCAGCAGCTTCGCGGCTAGAGGGCAGTCATTCAGCGTTTAGCACACTCGCTTTAAGAGTTTGCAACATATTCACATATGGAGGGCGGCTGGTGTTCAGCATGTAGATCTCGCTTCAGTGCCGCGCGCATTCGTTTTCAAAAGTTTGCAACCGTTTCAAGGATTCGCACCGCTGGAGTACCAGGAATGGTGTTCTGGATCGATTTAGGATAAACGGGGCGCAAGAGTTACGGTATTAAAATCACAGGAAATTTGTTTCGGAACGGTATTCGCCAGGGCGCAACAATGACGTTGATCCGCGGCGTTGAAGATCCAGGAATTGTGAATTGTGCTTGTGGCACGATTGAGGATTCTCAAGCGGCTGGCTTCTGAGGGAACATTTCCTGCGGAGAAAATGCATGCCTGTAGGGACCCATCTCTCTCGGATCTATGGAGAGCGGTCTTCGAGGGAGGGTGTATTGCAGCATTGTTGCTGCGTCTTGGGTTTGCACTGGTCCTCCTCCTCCTCCTCTTCCTTCGCCCTCCTCTTCCTATTATTCCTGTTCCTCCTCCGTAGCGATTTTGTGTCAAGATAGTATCGCCCCTTAGAGAGGAAGTGGATACCTCCAATCCGAAGCCAGACCCTTAACTTTTTTGTAATCTCCTGTCGGATCAACTCATCTTGTATCGCACCAGCATTGGTTCCAGCGGGTAGATCGAGGAGTTTCCAGTTCCTGTGGGGGCCAGTGCAGCACCGGGCTTGGTGGTGAGGGCGGCCCATGCCTAGTGATGCGACCTTTGCCTCTCGCAGCGAACGCGGAAGATCGCAGTGGTGACGCCGCCCTCGCCACGATGGACGGGAAGAACAAAGACGTGACCGACGAGGAAACCGTTTTTCTCGCGGTCTAGCGAGGACACCCCGCGGGCGGACAGCCCGAGGGACCATGCACGGCACCATCAAATTCCCGCCCCTGTTGGCGGTGGTCATCGAGGTCTTGGCGCTGCAGACCCGGTCGATGGCGTTTTTCGAGAGGCACAGGACAGACTTGCCGCTGGCATCGACCTGGCACCCACGTTCCGTGAACACGAACGGCCGCGCACACGCGACGGTGGACACGGCGTTCGACCCGACACACTACATGGGGTGGGTGACTCTTGGCGCGGTCATTAGCGCCCTCGGCCAGAAGCCATGTCAACGGCGGAAGGGGATCGAGGCGGCGTTCAACGCTGTCTTCCAGCAGCCGGTGGGGGAGATGCGCACGGAAGTCAACACCACCGTGGGAACGGCGCGCACGAACATGCGGGACACGGTGTTCGACTTCCTGCGCCTTCAGGCCGCGAGACTTGATTCCCATGACGCGGACATGTGAAGATTCCAGGACAAAACCGACAGCACGGCCCAAAACCAACGTGGGTTACGACACGACCTGGTCGCCGTGCAGCGCTCGGTCGTTCAGGCCCAGACGGCCCAGGACACCGCCATCGACTTCGGCAGGCTCGCCACGTACGACCGCCCGCCTGACCCGAGCGTCTTTCGCATCGGTTGTGCCCAGACTACAGCCTTCGCGGAGGTCGAGCTGTCTATTGCGGACTGGTTCAAGGCCGCTGGTCTCGATGGCAACGATTTTGCGCTGCACGGGGGGTCCTGACAAGCTTTTTCATCTGCACATCCCAGGGGCAGCTGCAGGAGTGGCCCGCCCCGCTCGCCTGGCTCAACAATTACAGTTCCCTAGCGGTGGTTGGCGCCAGTTTATGGCGAAGGCAGCCACGGGCGTTCAGGACGCGCTGCACATCAACCCTGACAAGAGCCCTAAACAAGTTCGGCGAGAGGTTCAGCGGCGACGACTCCTGGGCACCCTGCAGAACACCTACAGGGACCGCTACCAGAGGTTGCTTCGTGCACGGGGCACCATCGGCATTGGCAACGTCGTTATTGTGGAGGCTCCACCGCAGGGCGTGCATGAGCCCGCCAGGCCAGCCTGGTCACCATAGGCGGTCGCCGATCACAACGTCGACTTCCAGGGCATCAGCGCGCAGCTCAAGCAACAGCTCCAAAGCGTGGACACTTCAGCATGGACGTTTTCCAAGAAGGCGGTTCCAGCCATGGGAGGTCGGCAGTGGAGGCCAACGTGGCCGAATCATCGCATCGTGGGGCGCTCGCGGTCTCTGCTGTTGGAATCGCAAGCTCCGGCGTTGGAAAATGAGCAAGATCCAATTTCCAGTTCGGCGACACTTGTTTTTTTCTGCATGAGGTCCATGGCAATGAGATGACGCTCGCCGCGCACTTGGAAACAAAAAAAAGCCACCCACCTCAGGCCGTCCTATTCGGGCCACCCCGGCAGCCAAGAACAGTCTGGCCAAAGAACTGCTCAGTGCACTGGTGGGGCTGCTATGATTGCCCCCTGGCATGCACCGCATCTCGCGTGGCATCTGACCGAAGCTGAGCTTCCCCAACTTCGACGCGCGGTTATCATTCCTGGACGCATTCACATGCTGGAGATCGCGCAGCAAGACGGCCGCGCCACCCGCGTCATCAGCCACCGCAATGTTTGCAACGACGCTAATCTCCGAAGCACTATCCGACAGCACTGGGACAGGAACCTGGCCTTGGCCCGTGAAAATGGGATAACTAGATTAGCGGTCTGCGCAGGCGATGTCATTGCGAGCAATTTCACACATCAGCCCCTGCTCTTCCCTCGGCAACGTCGAGCTCGACGGCCCCAAGATGGCGCGGCAAATCAACCTGAACCGTTCTGGCAGAGTCTCTTGATTACTGCATGCTGGAAAAAGAAAGCCCTCTCCCGACGCATTTCGTTGGAGCCTCGCACTCGCTGGGCACGATCCACCGCTTCCTCATTTCGCCGGGCGACCGCGCCATCTTCGACTGCGACACCGCGACCAGTATCATTCAGGCCGCTGACAAGCTGAGCGACTATGCGCTCTCGGATCACGCGATAGTCGTTTTCCATGTACTTCGCGAGCGGCCACCGCCCACTGAGTCTCGGAGCATCCCGGGCCACCTCTTCCGCGACACTCGCTTCGAGGAGACGTTGCAGCATTGCGTTGACGGCGCTGGCCTGCTAGGTGGGATCGGACTGCGTTCATCCTGGAAAGAGCTGGGGGGGTGGGGGGGGTCAGGCCCCTGGGCCTCTTGCGTGTTTGGGCTCGTGTGCAGCGTCGCTTGAGACGTCCTCTGGTTCGAGCCTGGCAGCAGGCCAATTATCGCTCGTTTTTCTGGTCCACCCATGGGAGGTCTTCAAAGAAATGCGCCTGGATTCAGGCGGCTTGGTCGGAGCATTCCACGTTTAAGGCCAGGTAGTGTGCGACCCTTCTGTTGACATCTCTTCGCTGCGCGCGACGCGGAGATGGCAGCGGGTCGAGGAACTGATGCATATGGCGGCAGCGCTGACTCGAGATAGGTTGCAACGATGCCTCCACCCCGATGGCTCTGCAGCGCCTCGGCGGCCATCTGCCGGCGCCGGGGCGGTCGAGGCGGAATGCGTGGCGCCGCGGCCCATTGCTCGAATTGTTTGCCGCCGAGACGTTCGATTGGCCAGGCCCCTGCGCGGTTCATCGGCTCTAGCTCGGCGCTTCCTGGACCTCGCGAACGACGGCGCGGCTTTCGCGGATGCGGACTCCTTCCGAGCCCTCTCAACGGACTGCAACCAGCGCCGCCTCGATCTCATTGGACAGCCAGCTGCTCGAGCGGGGCGTCGTCGCCAGCGAGTTCCACGCGGGGGCGACTCGCTGGCTGGCGCCCCGGAACGCTTCAAAATCCACCCAGTTCAGCAGCGCGCGGCTGGCAACGGCGTGGATCCCGACGCCGCGGCGGCCGGCTCTGAGTGGCATCAGGCATGCGCAGCTGGCAGATTGCAGCGTCGTCAGAGACCCCATTCGACGCGGCGTCGGCGATCAGCGAGCAGTAGGAGACTGTCTTCAAGGAGGCGACGTACAGAGAACAATCCATCACTGACTACCTTGATCCCTATCTTCCCCCCGCCCCCCCTTTCCACCCCTGGAGACCTTGCCGGGGCCCCTCGGCGGGGAAGGCCCCCCCCCCTAGCCCCGACCGATTGCCCTACGGGGCTTGGCGAGCCGCGCCAGCTGCAGCGGATATACTTCATGATGTACCGCTGCGGTTATTGCCAGGCGCGAGCCCCGCTGAAGGTTTCAACCAGTCGAATTTCGCATTCATCCCTAGAGGTGGAGATCATCGGAATATCATTGACTGCGCGCGTGACGCGGCCACTTTCAGGCCATTGAGTTTAAAGGGCACCGACAGTAAGGCCCGCGGTGAAATCGCCAACATACATCTCAGTAAAGTTGCAGAGCAGTGAGCCCACAGTTCCCAACATGGTCTCATAGGGGGTCGAAATTTTGGGACCCGCATCATTAACCTGGATGCCGAAACCCGTCTGTGTAGCATTGGCGGAGACGCGCCAGCTTGGCGCCCATGTTTCTCGTTTGACTTCGAAGTTGCTCCCCCTGATCTGTCTCGACAATGACTGAGGGCGTTGCTGCGGCGCTTTGGCCCTCCCGAGGATACCTGAATTCGATCCGCGCTCTGTCCGAGGGCTCCGATGGGATTTTTGCACTCCCGACGCACACGAACGTTCCCGATCTGTCACGGCGTTCCCCAGGGATGTCCGCTGTCAGGAACGCCCTGGGCCCGCCGGGATGGACCCGCCGGTGCGGCATTTGGTCCAGGCGTGCGAAGCCGCCTCCCGAGCAATTGCCCGGCCCGTCCCTGTCTGGGGTTCGAATGGGGAGCGCGTCGACCCAGTCTTCCGGTCCCTTGCTCTCGCCGCCGCTGTTGGTGCCTGTGCTGACGAAGTTGGAGCCCCCCTCCCATCCCTTTCCCTTCT